CATGTCCATTATGCAGTGAGATTACTTCTGTTTCCACGAAAGATGAATTGAACTAAAACTCCAATCTGCTTCAACATTATGTGTAAAAACATCACAGTACAGCTGTACAGTTCAGTATATAGATACATTAGTGTAGCAGAACACCTTTCATAGCCATTCAGTACAGTATCAAGCCAGCCCCATACTACATGTAAATCCATTAGCAACAGAGTGATAGTTGCAGGCAGTGGGACAGGGAAGCTGACTAAGCAACAGTCAAGCTAATGAAGAGTTTGTGCTGAAGTGCTGATGGGGGACACATAACCACGTTGGACAGATACACACCGAGTGTGAAAAGATATCTGAGAGTCTAATGGTCGAGGACCTGGGGGAAATATCCGGAGCAAACAGCTCACATTAATAAAGTCAGCTCAGCATTGAGGGATACACTAAGGGATTCACTTAACTTTGGCCTGACAATGTACAGTGTTAAAACAGGAGTTTATTATATGGGGCTTCCTGTTTTCTCAGGGCTGGTTCCTCATTAAATTTGTTCTGTGACTGTACATTGATGGCCTATTGTAACTGACAGACCTGAGACAGTGAAATCCCTCAGCTACAGCATGTATTACTCAGGTTCAAGTGTGTGTGTTTAGGCCCTCACAAGAACTTTTGATTCTTTATGAAGAAAACAAGGTACTGGAGCGTCAAACTAGACACTAGATGGACGAATGTACTGCAGTTTGATGAAATGTCCTCACAAGGGTAGACGTGTGTGTACAAGTAAAGACATTGGTCCTCATTTAACACGCCTTTCCTACCTCTTGAGATGCTACGAGTCCACAGCTGCTGGTCTGAATAGTAACACTCAAATTCTGTCAGATTTAAGTGCCATGTGTTAACCTGTAATACATTTCGAAATTTATTTTTTTGCATGCCAATTAAACTAGACTTACTTAATTTGTGTAAGCTTGACTTTCATTTCTACATTTTATCCTTAATGGCTTAAAAACTGAATCAAATTTTGATGAGGGCAATCAATCATGGCATTAATCAACACTGAATTCCTATAAAAACCAGACAGGATAATTATCTTCCCACCAGATTTAGGAGGAGTAATACATTTATATTTTGGCTGGGAAATGGGTCACACGGTATGCTCGCTTGATAAATGAGGGCCAACGTCTGCAGCCACACAAGCTGCGAAGCAGCAGAGGCGACGTCATGTCTGAGGATGACTCATCGCTTCCTGTCACACTGAGAGAAAAAGCTCGAAAACGCAGACCAGAACGTCACATGACCACACGGTGAGCAGATAAGACAGAGAAGTGGGAAGCATTTTTGCCACTGGTCACGACAGTCACTCAGCATGGCAAAGCTAGCACGGGGATATGGTAGGTTTCACTTACAGTCTCTGTGCAGGGAGCTAGTGGGGGGATGGGGGGGCAAGGCTTGGGCGAACCTTCTCGGAAAATCCTAACTACATCTTATCAGCTTCCCCATCGCTGCCATAACTATTGAAAACCTCACTAAACTCGGCTAAGTTGTGGATGCCCGGGCTGGGCCTTGGGCTCTGGCTTTGGCTAGGCTCGGGGCTATGGTGGGGGCTGCCTTTCTGGCAGGGGTAGCAGTAGTGGTGGTGGTAATGGGGGTGTTGGGACTGGGGTTGGGACTGGGCCTCCACCTTCATTCTCTTGGCCTCGTTGCGCGACTTGTAGCAGAATTCGATGAGGGCCACCAGCATGGCCAGGCCCAGGCCCCCGACGAGGATGTAGAAGACCCCCGCCACGTTGCTCAGACTGAGGGCCTGGGACGACTTGTCCTGTAGCCGGCGGGGAGAGGAGCAAACAACAAAAGTCAGCGCTGGTTTTAGCAGAGTGCATACAAAACACTCAACATTTATACACAGATAGGACAATGTGGAAAAACTACACATCAACTTCACATCATGCACACACACAAACACAACTGGTCACACTCACACAACACTAATCACTCCTCTTCCTCTATCCTGTCTGGCTACTGCTGCATGGCTGTATGTAGCCATGCTAGCAACAATCTTCTCCTACCATCATTCTGCTTACAATAAAGTATTTCAGAGGAATCAGTTGTCTCTTTGAATTAAAGGGTCAGTTCAACCAAATCACGAAACAGAATTTTTTCTCACTTATCCCTAGTGCTGCTCGACATGCAGATAGTTTTGGTTATACTTGCAAACTGCACCTTTGATACTTTCGCCTCTACCACCTTAAAATTTCAACAGCAACTTTTCCTTCCAGAAACAACAGCCCATTTACTTTGAATAATCTCAGAGGCTGAGAAATGAAGCCATCGCTGAAGTGCTAAAAACTGCAGTTCCTCAAATGGCCACTTGAGCCTGGCTCAGAAAGTGAATCAATCCTAATAGACCCCAATGTTAAAATGCCCAACTCTACATGCGGAAATAAACAGCTACAGTCCCCGTTCATGACCAACATGGTCTCATGCTGAAGTTGTCAAACACCGCTGCTTGGGCAGTTACTTCTGCGTTAGATACCGACGGAAAAAGTCTTTCAATGTCTTTTTAAGTCGGCATGATTCACAGCCGGCCACCGTTATTGTGTAACGGCGCAACAACTGCTGGAAACTGTCCGACTTGACTACAACTGTTTTTTCCACCACCCCCCACTGCTGCTGACTGATGTCATCCTGAGGTCAAGTTCATCTTGAACGAGCCTGTTGTGAGGAAACACCCAAATTTGTCACACCGTCTTTGGTCACAATGGCTGTCAGTAAAGTTGTGTCATGGTGTTATCTTGGGCCCCCGTTTCTTCCACAATTGTCAACTTTCATCTCAGACAGCCCAAACTCACGCAGTGTAAAGGGGCCTTAACCTCCTGAGACCCAAACTTTTGTTTGGTATGCATTTTTAATTTCTCCTAGCTATTTGGGATCAGTAGGACCTGATAAGAATAAAACACTAAACACTGTTAATGATAATTAAGCCCCAGTGTCCTCAAAAGTGAGATGATAATGAAATCCCAATGTCCTAAAACAAGACGATACTAAGTTTTCACTAATGAACAGTGTATTAGGTTGTTACTGTTGCTAAAATTGGTCAATTTTTTGCCATATCAAACATTAAAAACATTATTAATCATAATTAAAAAAGTTTTAACCATAAAATGTGATCAGGTTGTGGACCTTGTCCACTTTTGTGTCGGGATCGGCGGCAGACTGACTTGGCAGAAATGGCTGCCATCTTGTTTTTATGTATTGTGCTCTTACTACCACTAGATGGCACAAAAAAGTGTCCACGAATGAGGACAACAGATCTACATTAAGTAGAATGAAGAATACATAATGTCAGCCATTGTTCCTGAAAAGGGTTGTTGCTGTCGATTTAAAAATGCAATTAAAAGTATCTGCATTGCTACCTGTAACTAGGTAAATGAGGAAATCTGTTTTGGTCATTTGGATGAACTAGCCCTTTAATTTCCCTCCATATTTCCACGGGCTGCCTTCGCTCTCAACTCTGACATTCACCTTTTAACCCCTTTTATTCAAATGTATGCAGCTGATCTCTCTGAGCACTGACTCCTGCTCCTCACTGCCATTTACCCCCCTTCCGATAAATCACCTACGTCCTTAAGGGGCATTCATCCTATTACATGGACAGTAAAAAAGCCTGCCTGTCGTGTTTAGTCTCATTTGCAGGTGATGGCGTGTGTGTGTGTGTGTGTGTCCTGCACTTAAGGACCTGATTAAGGGGACGTGACTGATGTGGAAGGTGCATGCTGCTTCAAATGTGGCAGCTAACTCCATGCTCCAGTGCATCATCATCGTGTTTTGTGTGTGTTGCTACAGCTGAGGCGTACAGTAGTACTGACATCTAGTGTGACATACAGTAACGTCTGAACATGCCCTGGGACCATCTTGGGTGACAACCAGTGTGAGTGTGAACCTTCATCTGCATTTCAACACATAGCTTAGCTGCTGTAAAACTGTTAGCGCTGCACCATGCCTTGTTTCTGTCATGCTGTATCCCTCAGGCTACGCCTTAAGTCTCTACCTGCATGTCTGTCACTCGCTCTTTCTCAGAGTGTTATATGTGTGTGTGTGTGTGTGTGTGCGCCATGTCAGCCAGCCTGCTGTAATAACAGAACAGTACTGCCAGCGTTAGACAAGTGTGCATAGAGACAATGAGAGGAGGGGAGGCTCCCGGGCTGGTGGAGACTGACCTTACTTCCCGAGTCCTTGGGTCCACACTCCCCTTTATCGTACCACCATTTGTTTTTCAGTTTGTCTAAGACTCCTGCTTCACTCAGTTTCAATACGGCAAGGTTTACAGGCGTTCTTCAAATCACGGGGGACGGGGAAGGGTGGGGTGGGGAAAATAACATAAATAACATCATAGGACATGTTATTTTATGTTATTCAATCAGAAGAAGCCCAACAAGAGCAGCTCAGTACTCTTCACAAAGTGACGAAGCCGGGAAGGGGCCCCACTTTACGCTACATGTCTCTTTGCTCATTGGTTGAGATAGTTGTTTGAAGGTTTGGGTTTATTGGGAGATATTAAGGGGCAGGGGCTGAGCTAACAGACATATATAAGTGGGGCCCCGGCTGCATCGCTTTTCTGGAACGGGCACATACTGCCGGGACCTTTCTTAGAACAAACACAGAGGCTAGTACTGTCAACCCAAAACTATCAGCTCAAACAATGCTTCGTAGTATGCTAAACACCCAACATGAGGTGACTGTCTTGTCCTTTTACTTCTTATAAGCAATATTTTTTAAGTTTCCAAATAGTTTTACTTTCCCAGTTTATCCCTACATGAGCACAACAGCGGATATTTTTGGTTCGACAGTACTCGCACTCCTCTCCAGATTTAACGTTTCCTCTTCACTTTGAGGTAGCTGTGTGGGTCGACCCAGCAGATGCTCCTGTTACCAACAAAACACATTTGTCTTTTACCCGCATCAAGGTCACATGGGCATAGCGACATAGCGGCTAACCTTCTCGCCACCGCCTCCGCTGCCACACTCTCCTTTGTCGTACCACCACTTGTTTTTCAATTTGTCCAACAGGCCTTGCTCATTGAGTTTTAACACTGCCAGGTTAACTGCACTTCTTGAAAACGATAAAACATATTTGGTGAGAGGGGGTGAGTATGCTGTCCAATTTGGGAGGGAAGGAAGAGAAGGGGGGGAGGGGGGAGTAGCAGTAAGAGAGGGACAAAGGTGGAAAAGTGCGTTAATGCTCTAAATGGTTACATCCCAGGACCCGAACACACGCTGAACACAAATCTCTCCACTTTAATGTGCCGTTTTAATTTGATATCAATGCAGCCGTCATGTACATATTTGAAAGCTTTTACTGGTTCGTAGTTTTTAAAACTTATCAGCTTGAAACATTAAAAAGAACGCTGAAGCAGAGTTTTAGCGTTAGCATTACCTTATGCTTGCTATCACTAGCTGCTCCCATTCTCAGGTCATGATATCCCAATGTTTTGTCACGCTCCTTGGCATCTCATTGCGACACACAGGGCACCCTCAAGTGTATTTATGTGACGCATAGCTGAAACACATTGGTTAATGTTGAGAAATGGTTGTGGTTAGGTTTAGGCAACAAAAACTACTTGATTAGGAAGAGGAAGACCAGTTGCATTTGTTTTTCTACTGATATCCAAGGCTGGCTGGGGCCTCTCAACATTTCCATTGAACTAACATCTTTAAACATTTTACTGGGGGTCCTGTGATGAAAACTGTCCCCAAATAATAAACACAATTATTCTGTTGGGTAAAATATTTCTATTTAAAGCTCAATCAAGAAAAAAGTTGAATTTTAGTTTCCTGAAAAATACAGTGCAATGTCAATTTCTGGAAAAGGATATTGCTACAAACCATTGCAAAGTAGCACAACATCACATGAAATGGGACAAAATTTGCTCTAGTAAAGAGTGGAAATATATAGAATTATAATTACACTGTACCTGCCATATAAATGTTATTTATTTATTTATTTTTTACTAGTACTATTAACTTTGATCCAAATAACTTTTACATGTCCTCTCTTTCATCCATTTTGGTCTGCGTAAGTCTAACTTTTGTTTTGTTTGTTTTTGTTTTGCTTTGTTTTTCTTTGTGAGGCCATACTGTCATGTCATGTTGTCATATGTGCTTTGTGTATTATTATTTGCCTGCAATTTAAAAACAAATCAAAACAAAAAAATATTTGGTGAGGTTTAGAAAAGATCATATATTGGGTCAAAATAAGTACATCATGTACTATACATAAATTGCATAACGTTGTGTTAAAACAACAGACTTTTAGTTTCACACAGGAGATGAACAGCAGTCTCCTGTGTGAAAGTTCAGTTTTGTTTGACCAATCCACCTCCCCTCCCACCCTATATGGACCGTCTTGCTCTTTATGCTACATCAGTTGCTCTCAGTGTCAAGTATTGTCGCGGATGGGTTTACACTGGAGTTAGATGAAAGCCCAGTTCCTCTCATAAACACGTTAAAGGGTGCCTTTGGTGTCAATATCACATGCTGAGGGGCGTGACAAAGCAGCAATATTTGTGGCTATGTAAATGGGAGCTCACTGAATCTGCCAGCAAAAGATTAACAACATAGGGAAGAAGAAGACAAAAAAACAAAACAGGTTTCTCCTCAACGAATCCCATCAAGAATAAAAAAAATCTTTTTTCCATAGATTTTTTTTTAATTATCTTTATCTAATTATCTGGTAATACAACATTGTAGATAGGACGAAAACATCTCAATACTGAACAAACATTCATGGTTCCCAGAGGATGATTCCCAGAGACTTTGGTAATACCAACTTTTAAATCTAGCACCACCATCAAATCAAAATTTTAAATTACCCAGTGACATATCACACCGATACTTGATAGTTTGCCCCAAGAGACATTTACTGTTTCCTTATTCTTTAATGCCATTGTCTGGTCAAAATTTCAGTTTGTTCAGTAGTTTGGTTTGTGACCAAAGTTTGTGTAGTTTTACCACCTCAGGCCTCAAAAATTAACCAAAGCCTTTTTGACGAAGATGCTGCGCTGTAGGGCTGCTACAACATCCCTTCTTTACGCCTTTTTCCACACAGAACCAAACGACAGCAGCATTATTCTGCTGCTGTGTGTGATTTAAGACAGCATGCCAGGCATTACAGAATTAAAGCAGATGTGACGGGCATGACGTGTAACACAACAGCATCAGTCTCTAGTGTAACATATACCATGTCAGTGCTTTATAAATAATAAAAATAGCACTGACATGTCAATAACAATCATGTACCGCCTCTGTTATGTGGCAGCTGATCTCGCCCTCTGCTCAGAGGGTAAGGAGCTCCCAGATCTCATTGTTTTCCCAAGTCATGTACATATACAGCTGCTGTTCTTCTTTGAGTTAGCCACTAACTGCTAACAGCTACTTTTAAATCTCTTGCAGTAGGTCACGCACATAATATGTCGTCAAAACACCCGACCTGCTCATGGTCCCGTCCTACCAGCTGTCCAGTTAATACAGACACGTTTCGGTACTGTTACTACCTCCTGTGGTGGTTTACAGGTAAGATGACTCTGTCACCCCATTCTGCGATCATACCTTTTACACAGCACAGTGAGGCGACATAACAACACAACATTCCTGTATTGATCAGGCACTGTAAAAACCACTCGAATGAATCATCTACAGCAGCCAACATCAGCTGTGAACTCATAGATATACCAATGCAATTTATTCATGCATGTAGATATGTACATGTCACATAATGTTTTTCTACCCTAACGGATAATTAACTGAGTAATTCATTTTTTTTCTTTCTTCTTTTTTTGGCATGGAAATTGTCCATCTTAAAACATTAAATATTGGCACAAGATGTTGGCAGTAGGTACCGCCAGCCAAAAAATATCTGCACCAGCCAGCATGTTGAGAACCAGACACCTCCAAATAATTTGGACCTGTTTTACACATGTATATGGTGTGTGTACGTCAGCCAATTCAAAGCTCACAGGATTTCTGAGCATTAAGCTGTTCTGGAAAATCATGATTGACTTGCATAAAATGTCTCTGAAAAGCCGTTTAAAATAAGTGTTGCGTTATAATTTCATGGCTCCTTTAGAAGGCTGCCGTAGTGAAGTCTGACAATAGAGAGAGATTTGCCTCAGCGTGCATTTTGATCCTTTTAATTTATTTGCATCATTATGAAAAATAAAAAACAGTCAGAAATGGAAATGGATCAGAAAGACAAAGTGACACAGCTGATATTTCAGTTTTAGCTTGGCGATGTTTGCGGAGCCATGTGAAAATAACAGCCTTGACCAACCATGTCACCTGCTCTCCATGTTGCTGGTGTGTTTCCTCGCTGGTATCCGGACAAGTGACTGACAGAAGATGATAATCCCCAAAAAAACAAAGATGGAGGCCTGGAAGAGGAGGGGGGAACTACCGTGATCTGTCAGGGACTCTTCCTGGTCAAAGCAGTGGCTGAAAACTGGCACCAGCCTGGCTGCAAAACAAACCAGCAGCTGTTCTGCTCTACTTCGGGCTTCATGTGCAGAGGAATTTACAGAAAACAGCTAAAAGGGTTGGATTTACCACCTGTGAGGAGTTGAAACAAATTACTTTGCTTGTACGAAGAATAAAAACCTTTATGTTTGGCTCTTGTTTTCAGTGCACCCACTAATTACATACGATCAGTGATAGTCGTGCTTCATGTATTTATACAGCAGAGTTGCTTAGAGCCTTTATAAAAGGCTCGCTCTGAAATTTTCTAACATTTTCTTGTACCTCCGCAGGAGAAAATGAAAGTGCAAGCAATCATGAAGCTGATCTCCACTGGTTTGCAGACGTGTGCACGCACACACCTGTGAAATTTTGCCTTTAGTACATATATCCACTCCCTTCAGTGAGACCTTGCCGGCGGGCTTTGATCGATGAGTGTGCGGATTGAAAGTGCAACTCCCCACAGTAATGACACTGTATTCTCTGGCAGGTCTGTAAATTCCACTATGTGCGGGAGGCAGTGACAGAGTCTGGCAGAGTTACCCAGGGCTGAGCATTCAAATGGCTCCCAAAACACTATTTCAGTCACTTAGTTGAAAAGAAAGAACCAGTCAACCATGAAGGAAAGCTGAAGTAGCATTAGTGAAACATCTCTCTGCTAATTACATCTGTATATATAAATGCAGATTATCCTAAATGGTATTTTCTAAATTAGACATTTTCAGAAGTTTACTCAAGCCTTCGAGCATGCCATTCCAACATCTCTGCCCAAACAGCAAGCACAAGCACAAAGATTTACCTGATGTGGAGAGCTGTGAAGAAAGAAAAAATGAAATAACCACCCCTGCATGATCACGGTGACCCCCCCCACATGCATGCAACAAACAAGGATGACAAAAAGCCACTACTTGTGCCCTCTACCACAGATGTATATTGCCCAACCCACCCACACCAAGCAAAGTAAGTGGAGACAGATAAAGATACAAAAGGCGGCACACCAGGGAAGGTGGAATACCATAACAACACGTAGAACATATTGTTACACTATTCCACCCACCTTAACTGTGAACCCTTGGGTGTAGCTACTCCGTAGCCTTTGGAGTCCAAGTTTCCTCCCACTTTCATTGTGTCGCATGGCTTGCGTTGTTCTGTGTACTCATTCATGGTGGACTCCAAGAGGAAGGCGTATTTCCCTTTGGACTTGCGGACCCGTGCCACGCCCTCAGCCGTGGTCTTGGTGAAGACCGTGGGCTCAGCAGACTTCATGTATCCCCACATCTTCTCGTAGACGGCGATTTTGGACCGCTGTGGGGTTATGAGAGGGTTGGAGGTTCAAAGGCAGATGTGGTGGTGGTGGTGGTGGGGGGGGACAGCATGTCCGCATACAACAGCAGGCAGAGAAAACATTGAGTCTCATTTCAAAAGCTCACATAACTGGTTTACTAGAACAAATTCTTATTAAATACATATACCAGCAATATGTAACTATACACAATGGTGGATTGTAAGTTAGCACATTAAAGTGGGATTCATGGTGAATTGACGGCATTGACTACCTATGCCATAGCCTGACGTGCACCTCCCCAGAAATGTAACTACACATCGCTGCAACGCAGACCTGTCTATTTTTGTAAGCTGAAACCACAAACAGTCTCATGTGCAGCTGGGTAACCTGGATATGCCTTTGAACTCTGCTTTATTGTAATTTTTTTTTAGCAAAAATGCTAATGTTTGTTAAGTACCGACTGTACAACTGAATAAATGAGACCTGGATTATTCTCCATGCTGGTGTTTTGATACAGTTTTGCTGTTGTATAAGATGGTCGCCAATGACTTCAGTTCATGAAAAATGTTCTCATTTTTTGGATTCTTCGTTCACCATGGAGGCATGCAAGAAAAACAAAACTTTCTTCATGAATACGAGGTAAAACATGGTGAGTAACTGATATTTGAAAGGTCATGTTGATGGTGAGGGATTCCTACTTGTAAAATTTTGATGTACTTGTATTTTACTTGATCATTTACTTTATATTTCTGCTCCACTGCATTTTGGAAGCTAATATTGTACTGTATCCGTCTGTGTGTTATGTGTCTAACCAAGTCTCGTCATGAAGTCTGGTGAGTTGAGTTGTTGCAGGAAGACAATAATAAACAGACTGAATCAAGCGAAAGGTAAAGAAGAATGTTCTCTAAAGGGTCCTTTCCTATGAAATTTGAGTATTTGTGCCACATTAAAAATTGAGAATAAAGTCATACTAGTTCAAGAAAAAGTTGTAATATAATGAGAGCAAAAATGTATTAAAATAAAAAATAAAATCTTTAAAAAAATTGCAAATTAATGCATAAACCACTCAGCCACCACATTTTCTCACTGATGGGGACTTTGTCGTATTTCATGCTATGTCAGCTGACTGTCTGGCATTAATTTGTATGTTTTTTTTCTTATAAAAATATAAGTCATGATCACGTAATACTCTGACTTTTTCCCATAACATTACAACTTTATTCTATTATAATATTATGAGTTTTTTCCTGAAACAGCATGACTTTATTCTGATTAAATCACAGCTTTGTTCTTGTGATACTCACACTTCTTTTCTCGAAGTTACAACTTTATTCCTGTAATATTTTGTCTAAATTCTCAAAATACCAGATTTATTTTCCTTAGTTTTGCCCTAATACTCCTTAGTACTTTCCATAATGTCGTCAGACACTTTTAATCACAGTCTGAGCCTGTCAGTAGCAAAAACAAGCACTTTTAGTGGACGTACACTGACGGTGCACAATTGCCCCGACTATTACAGCCATTTAGCGGCTGCAGCGCTGTCACTCAACACTGAACCAATTTCAAAAATTGTTGTTCCAATTAGTGACACTTGAGATTAAAGGACATGGTAAACAGGGTTCAGGTAAAGAAAAAAAAAATCAGCAGTTTTCCTTTAATGTTGTACATTGAAAGAAGAACTACTACATGTTATTTCACTTTTTTACCATATCGTAGGATTCAATTTGATTTCTGTTATATATACTTCAAAGTATTGTATTATTATTATTGTATAGTGTGTACTTATGTACTTTATATGTACTTTATATTACTATGTATATAATAATTATTCATACCTGTGCCTCATATTATAATGTATATATTGTATATAGCTGTTTTAATGTTACCTCCCCAGCCTCTTTAATATTCTTTTATTCAATTTTCCATTTATCTCACTAAAACAGAACTTTATCTCTCTTCTACCTCTGAGCCTGTCTCTGTGAGTATTTCGCCTGAATGTGGGATCAGTAAAGTTTTATCTTATCTTCTTACATCCAGCCACACCACCTCTTTACAACTTGGGTGTGGTACAGAAATGCATAACTTCCTTCACGTGGAAAACCTTTGACACTGAACATCATCAAGAGCAGAGATTTCCTCCTGAACGTATCCTACTAAACAAGTTTTGACTACATAATTCTAATTTCTAGGACACAGGGTTGCCATGGAGACCTGCTAAGCTCCCTCATGTTCCTGCTGACACTTTGAAGAGTGCGTGATCAGCCTTTTCTCTGGTGTGTGAAAGATGTGCATGGGTTCCCCCTACCTGTCGACCACTTTAACCCCTGTTTACACCAACTCACCCTGAAGAACTCTTTGGTCGAGCCAGAGTCCAATGTGCCGTAGGCGATGTCTGTCTGCTTGGCCAGGTCCTCTGCGCTCTCTATGGGGGAAACCATCCTCTCCACAGTGAGGAAGGCAGCCAGGTTAGCCGTGTAGGACGAGATGATGATGAGAGTGAAGAACCACCACACTCCTCCGACAATTCGGCCCGATAACGATCTTGGAGAGGAGGGAGGTGGAAGGGAGCGGAAGAGGGAGAATATCGTGGGGACAGTTTGGAAGGATTAGAAGGCAGAGGATGGCAAAATAATAGGAGGGAAGACGGGAACAAAAAGGGGATTGCCAGAAAGTAGAGCCAGGAAAATGATTATTGGAGTGGTAAAATAAGAATAAGGAGGAGAGGAGAAAAAGGGATCAGTGGGGTAAGATAGGAGGACAGAAAACAGTCAGTCAGTGTTGGAAATACAGTGACAGAGAAAACAATTAGAAGGAATGGAATATGACTGAAGCATGGAGAGACTAGCCACCTCTGTGGGCACCAAAACTACTGCTGTACCACCACAAGGTGGAGCTCTGACAACACAAACCCTCCAGAGCTGAAGCTATCCCTCATTAGTGCAGATTGCCTCATAAAAAAAAATCCCACGTGCTTGTGTTGACCGGCTTCGATAACGGAAAGATTGGCTACTCCTCTCCTTCCTCCTCCCCACCCCACCATCTTTTTGTTTATTGGTAGGATGAAAAGAGCTGCAGGTCCCCCCCAGCCGGCGTGGCGGCGGCACTGTTCTTTTCTTGTTTGTTCGCTCGGGGGAGACAGATAGCCCGTTGCTCAGGAGCAGCAGAAGGTCGTGAGGAGAATCTTAAACCATAAATGCTGCATTGAGGAGAACAAACAAGATCTCCCCTCGGTGCAAATCAAACAGCAGAGGATACAAAACCCTCAGGCCTCCTTGTCAGATGGAGAGAGGGAGAGAGATGGGGATATGAGACGGGGAGGTGAGAGGCATCTGCAACGGTCAGTGTTTTCTTGGCTGGTATTTCCACTTTGTCTTATTGCAATCTGGCCATATTCCATTGTTTCCAATATACACAGGAGTTCTCCATGTCCTGTCCTCTCAATAAGGATGGCAGCATCCTTTTCCCACATACAGTAAATCATATGACACCGTGAAGAGCCGTGACTGCTTACGAACCTTTTGAAAGAACCACTTTATTTGAACAAATATGAAGGTTCTGCCAATTCAGACCCAGGCAGAACTGTCACTCTAACCACAGAATCCGAGAGGAAACCTCTGTTTTCTCACTCTGTGCCGATGAAAGTGCCTGTAGCGGCTAAGGCGACTTCCAATAGAGAAAGTGCTGCAGTAGAGCATGTCTCCACACACACACACACACACACACACACACACACACACAGGAAGCTTTGCCCATGAAATAGACTTACTTGACGTATTAGCTCTGGATTTGAATACAAATGACTTCCCTCTCTTTTTCTCCCCACACTCCATTTTCCCTCTCCTCGAGACGATTGAGTATTTTCTGTGGCTTTTGAGCACAGAGAATTATAACTGTAAAATAATGAGTGAATGGGCGGAGGGTGTGCATGATAGGACGTGTGGATGAGTTCTATCCTCTCTCTTTCTCCGCTGCTTAATTTCCTTTTCCCACCTGCCAAAATCCCTCCATTCTCTTTATCACACCGTCTCCATCTTTCTTGCTTTTTTCCCCCCCAGTGTGAGCAGCAGAGGATTGTGGGAGTGTAATAATGGGACAAGAGGAGGAGTGTCTCTTTGCCATCCCTCCATCCCTCTGTGCTGTGTGTTTGCTGGCTGATACCACTGACTTTGATCCGTAGTGACACACTGCTGTAGCTTAGCGCTGAGAGTTTGGGTAATTTACAGGCCACGTCAGTGTTTTTCTTTCATCTCTATTCACCTTGAATTAATCATGGTATTACACAATGGATTCTACGTCATATATGTTGTGATAAGAAAGGGTACTCTCATGGAAGGGGCCGATTATTAGGCTTTTATCCATCCATCCTTTAGCTATACTCACTTATCCTTGAGGACTGCGAGGGGAATCCCAGTTGACATGAGGTGAGTGACAGGGTGCACTCTGGACAGGATGCCAGTCAACCACAGGGATAATACAGAGGCCACGTCCACACTAAGACATTTTCATTTGAAAAGAGCATTTAAAACAAAAACAATCTCCATACGCATTAGAGTTTCAGCACCGTTTCAGAAATAATCTTCGTCCATACTACAGTAACACGTCTGAAAACCCATACCACATGACCATTCACATACACTGGGTGTGCCCATGTCAGTGTAAACAGAAAGCAGATTGTCCGCTTTACAGTTGTTTCAGGCCCCCAGGACAGCAGCTCAGCCTTTCCCTTCAATTATTCCCAGCCAAAAAATCCCCTGTGGCCCAAGAAGCATTTTCCCCATAGACCACCATTAAAAATGAGATGTTGTAAAACTGTCCACAGGACACCTTGAACTGCAAACAAGATCAATTATGACTCTTTCTATTCTTAATTTTTGATCCATGGAGGTTTTATATTTGTAAAACTTTCCTTAGGGTCAAGAAAAGTGTTCAAAAGAATCCATAACATAAACACAAAGTCTATGAGCAGAGCGGGAACTCGTGGGTGGGGCCAGTGGGAGAAACACTTCTGCGCATATTCAGTGAGTCGAATACCATGGAGGTAAACCCGGAAGCTAGAAACTTTTTTTGCCCTATGCACCACGCAAGCAACTTCACTGGAAAAAAGAGATCATACATCTATGGGTTGGTTGCTTAGTTACAGAAATACTACAGAGATGGCAAAAAATTAGCTCAGTGGTATCTTTGTGTGGAGTGACTATGAGGTATAACTGAAAGCAACACATGAGTATGAGGGGTCAAGGCAACGGCTGTAACTCTTCTGTATGCTGCCGACTTGGCCAGGTCTGCCTTGTAAAAGAGATTGTTGATCTCAATGGGACTTACCTGAATAAATATTGGTTAACTAAATAAATAAAAATAAACATACTGGGAGTCGTTGCCAAGCAAACATGGCAACATATCAGAGTGGTACCGGGAGCATTATCCATTGCCAGGGAACCACGGCATCCTCCTTAACAAGCCTCCCCTGGAATCACTAACACCCCTGGACTGCTTTAAATCCTATCTCTCTGACTGTACACATTTATCCAGCTCAGAACTTTCAAATCCCAGCCACTTCCAGTCACTCCCTGTGTTCCTCAAGGTTCTGTCTTGGGTCCCCTTCTGTTTATCATCTACTTACTTCCTCTCAGCTACATCTTCCATAAATTTAACATCCATTTCCATTGCTATGCGGATGACATCCAGCTCTATCTGTCCACCAAACCTACCTCCCTCCACCTTTCTGCCTACCTCCATGTCTGACTGCCTTCAGGAAGTCAAATCCTGGTTCTCCTGCAACTGCCTCAAATTAAATAGAGATAAAACTGACTTACTTCTCATTGGCACCAAATCCACCTTAGCAAAAACTGACAGTTTCACAATCGATATTGATAACTCTTTTGTTTCCCCCTCCCTGCAGGTGCTCAGACCCAGACTCTTAGTCTGAGCGTCATCCTCGATAGTCATAGTTATAATAGTTATAATCTCAGATCAGTAATGTCACTCAGTTTGCCTGCTTCCATCTACGCAAAAATAACTACTTGTGCCCTTCCCTCACACCAGACAGTACGGCCATTTTTGTTCACACCCTAATTACATCCTGATTACTGTAACTTGCTTCTTTTTAGTCTCCCTCTCAAGTCCACTCACAAATTTTAACTGGTCCAGAACTCTGCCGCTCGTATCATCACCAGAATCCCCTTCATCAATCACATCACACCTGTCCTTCAGCAGCTTCACTGGCTTCTTGTTAAATACAGTGTTGACTTTAAGATCTTACCCCTCACCTTTAAGGCCATCCACAACCTAGCTGCTCTGTACCTCTCCAAACATCCACACCCCCACCCACACTCTGAGGTCTTCCTCTTCCATCAACCTCAATGTCCCGCCAGCCCACCTGACCATCATGGGGTCTGGAGCCCTAGCCTGTCTGTCAGAAAACTAAAAACTTGTCAGAGTAACCTCAGAAACTGAGATTAAGCAGAAAAGTTTGTAAGAACAAGAGATGTTAATGTCAGCGTTATGTTTTCAGCACTGGGAGTTATAATTGAATCATTTGCATTTCTAGTAATACATGTGCCTATCCAAGTGTGGTCATTGCAAGTGTTTTTGTGCAATACAAAAGTGTTGGAAAAAAAGAGAAAATGTTTCACTGCAGTTGGATGTTGTGAAAAACGTTGGGGAGAACTTGACTGTAATGATGTACGAGCTCAGTTTTCCCACGAGTGGAGGCAACTAGAAAACCAGACGGGGGAAGTACTAGAAGAAATAAAGTGGAAACAAAACAGAAATTGGCTCCAGTGTTGGGGGAATGGGATTCATCGCAGCAGTCCAGGAAGCCTCGGGGTATAAAGAATACTAAATGTAGGGGAAAAAAGAGAGAATAATTCCAGCAATTATACAGCACTTAGTCAGCACTTTTCCCCCACCGGTTAACTCGCTTAAGTTAAATTAATTTGTATTTATTAAATAGGATAGGAGAGATCTAAGAGGCTGGCATGGTCTGCATGTTGGCTGAGTGGCATTTCTGCACTCATCTGCAACAATTTATGTGATTAAGCTGCACGTAAGAGAACTGGAAAGTTATTATATGTGAGAAGGAGACTCAGACACACCGACATATCAGCTAAACATGTACAGAACTTTATCAATTGAATCTATTCGTTTACAACACAAAGCATTTTCGATCACACGGAACTTTATTTCAAATGGTCCAAATATTAAAAATTCCAAATATACCCAACATAACAGGAGAAATGTGTAAAAATGAAATCTTCATTTAGAGCACATAGCTTTAAAGAATGATTGGAACAAGCAGCATACTCTCTCTATATATGCTGTATGTATGTGATGATGTCATCCAGCATGGAATAATGATTATTTTCTCAATCTGAAACCACAAAAACAGACCCTTTAAGATGGGGTAGGCAGTTTAATTTTGGACAAAAATCCCATAAAAAATGTGAGCATATTTTAGACTTCTGCACCTCCTCTGAGCTCTGTTTTCAGGCTTCAGAAACTCTAACCTGTGACGGGAGACTTTGGCTAATCACATGTCATTT